GGGGGGGGGGGGGAGAGAGAAGGGCCCCCTCCCATTTATATTTACGCCTAGATATATTTTATTTCCCCTTTTTATTTGGATGAGTTTCGGTTCTCGAGGGGGTTCGGGCACCTGTTTGTATTTCTGCCGCGCCGACACATAAATCATCCCGGAATGGACTAACGCCTTTTATCACTGGGATCCTCTCCACAGGCAGGCCATGTGTGTATCCATGTATGTCCTACTCACATATATTTTCGACACCCGCTATATACGTGCATGTTGCCTTTCTATACAAGCTGCATGATCTTGTCTGTCCCTTTCTCCATCTTTACTGCAGTCTAACCCTTGGGATAGGTATGCGTACCTAGGAGAGTGAGATGCCAGGATGAATATGAATTTTTTAAAAAATATTATTATAAATTGAAAAAGATACCTTTAACGTTTCCCATCTTGTATCGACAAAAATCTTGGGCAAATTGTGCAGGGCACTCAAGTTGCCGTTGTGGGATATTATGTAATCTCTGGATACATACAGTCCTGTACGGAGGACCGCTTGGAATACAGGGCTAGAGAAACATTCGTAACGGAAGACAAATATTTTAGCGATTCTTTGCCAGACCTTTCCCTTCGGAGCTTCGGGCAAAAGTGCATCTGCATCTTGTTGCACCCCGGGGGTCCTTGACTCGTCTCTGACTCCTTTTCCCTTTTCTTTTATCCTTATTCTCACTGACACGGCGTACACTTCACACCTGACAAACCACCCTCCTCCTTGCCCTCGTCCCATGACAGCCCTCAGTGGTCCTGTTTTCAATGAGAGAAAATGCCCACTCTTAGACACCAAAAGGTATATCTTTCTCAGGGATATCTCTTTTCCTAAAAGAAACGAGATGACAAAAAATCAAATAGCTACACGTTACATCTCACCGAGCATTCTCACCAGCATTAAGTTTTCCTATGGCGTAGAAATTGTTAACAGCGAAAAAAGGAGAGAAAAAAATTTTGAATTCTTCCGGCCAATCGGTGTTCGGTTCTGCGACTGCATTGTTTGGCAAACGTAATAGTGGATCGTATAAAATTTTTACGATTTATAGTCGTCGCTGAGTACTTCTGTAAGCAAAAAGGTGGTGTTAGAAATAAAAAAGAGAAAACGGCGGTTTGGCGTGAAAAATTAGTTGCGTTGAATAAATACCTGGTTATACGTATCCGATTGTTGAATATGAGCACACGCCTATATGTATTTACACGTGCTATACTCTTTATATGCTCCTACGTGCATATGTCACATAGGCAGGAGGGATCGGATAGGATGAGTGGTCCATGGTGGCCATTAGTAACGCTTACCCAGTATAATGCGAGAAAAATGGGAGTCGAATTATTCGAATGGTGTAGTGGTCATTGGACAAAGGTCCTTGCAGGACATCCAAGGGACACTCCGAGAGACTCGTGCAAACCCCAGGGTTCCTTTGCCGGTATTTCTCCAGTGAACAATGCGAACTCTCCAAAAATGTCTCCAGCATCTTCCACTGGGATGATCTATGGGAGCATCTTGGTGAGGATGGATCGGACAGCAATTTGTGAACTGCTGATACAAAAAAATCATTTTATTAGGTGATATCACTTATCGCGTAAAAAGTTACGTATTTATTTGTCGCGTAATCGGGGAATAAATAATTTTGATAAATTAATCACCTTGGCCAAGCTTACGCTGGACGCCTTTCAATTGTAAATTTTACGAATTTTAAGTGGGCAGCAAGAGAATTGCAAATGAGCAAAATATATTTTGAATTTCCTTGAATTTTACTAAATTTTACCATTACCATCCTGAGCTTTACTAGAGTAATGCGCTGCGTATTCAAAACGCGATCACACGTCACATTATCATGATAAAGGGGGTTGACCTGTTCGCATACGCATTCGACACGCCCATGCGTTCTACAACCCTCGAACGAGCCATCTACCCTCCCTGGTAACGACACCACCTATGGCCCAGAGTACGTTTCCTCTTCCACGTTTCAGAGCGACATATTGTTGTCACCCGAATATCGTATAAAAGAATACAAATTCGAGAAAGCGGCATGACATGTCACTTGCTCAGTCTAGCCGCCTGCTGTGCAAACACACGGAAAATCCGTCGAACGAACATCCCTTGACTGTATATTCCTGTTCTTCGTTCATATTTTTTTTTATCATTCATCGCATTTTTTTTCACTACTTATACTTCACTTTGAATGACGCTCCCGTCTCTTTTCGGTAAACATTACCGTGACACCTGTGGCGAGTGAAGCCAACATATCAGGAATTAAAAAAAATGTTAATACCACGGTACACAGTATCCAATATTATACAGGCTGTCGTATAATAAAATAGTTTACCGGATATGTAAATAATTGAATACTGTTTGTGACAACGATGCTGACTTTTACGTATATTTTTCAATTCGATATTTTTTCAGTATAATTAACAGTCTGTCAAAAGAATTCGTGATACGAGTCATAATGGTATGTATCCTACGTACATTGTAAATCCTGTGAATATTACACTCACGTAATTTTCGTATTTCCACTCGCTACCCTCGTCTGAAGTCTCCTCATACTCCACCGCGTGCGCCATCATGCTCAGCTTCCTGCTCTGTGATCTCAGGCGTCTGAGTTTCATCCCTCTTGAAGTTAGCTAACAGCAGGATCGCACAATGTAACCGTGATTGCAAATCCGCTCGTTATCATCAAAACTGTAGGTAACCTAACCTCACAAAATCCACCTACCCAACATTCACTCTAGATCCCGTAAGGCGCGAGACTAGCCCGGAATGTTCGTTTGAGGTTAAAGAGACTCGGAAGAATTTCAAAGATCCACGATGATCTCTTGCACGAAGAGGTCCACTGAACGACCAAAGAATATCAGCTGGTTTAGTTTTGATAACGCGTTCCTGTCCCGAAGCCCATAGAAAAATCTTTTCTCTGGAGGATCGTGACTCGATTAAAACGACACATCGTTGACCGCGAGACTTGCGCGCCATCTATGGGATAAAAACGTCAACCTCATACCATTTTTTAGACGGGTCGTCCGTTACGGCTCAAAACGGACGGTTCTGCTTTGTTTACATCAACACATTCGCATCGGGAAACGAAAATTCTGGTTTTTGAAACATATAAGCGTCGTCAAATAGCCCTGATAGAGATAGTGCCGTTTAATCTATCCGAATACTTCATAGAGATGACACTGAAAAAAACATATAATATGTACAGTGACGTGCAATCAGCCGTGTTTCTCGTACAACGAACAGATTCAACAAAAAAGTGAGTACAGTCTAATTAAAGATAAAGTGACGTGTTAATAGGCTAATTTCGTGAAATAATTACGCGCCCTTAGTATTAAATTCTAGGAAAAATTCAGATCAGAGTGGTTAATTGTCTTTGATGGATTTTACGAGGCACCTGAGCACCGTGCTTACAACCTGTTCCCATGGACCATTGCTGAGCTTAGCGGCTCCTGCGAATTTATATCAGCCCTTGATCTTTCACCATGCCCAATATCTATTCTGTATTGGTGACCACGAGGTTAGGTAACGTTATGGCGACGGGTAAAATTTGACTAAGGGCGTGCGAATCGTGAACAATCACGCTCGAGAAGCTCGCGTGGGATCAGGTTCAGAATTCTGGACTCAGAAGAGAGTCAGGAAGCGTCCTGTTCTAGAATCGTAGGGGTGGTTAAAGAGGGTGTAAGTCTAATGTTATGTAATAGGGGCCACGTGGCAGTTGCGGGGTTCCAATGCGATTTCAACCCCTACGGACTGTATTGTTCACCGGGACGAGGCTAAATAGACCAAGGTTATACCTCTAGCTATAGCTATATTATATATAGGTATAGATATGTATATATATGAGAGTCACCACTTGCAATGAA